GGGGGGGCCCCCGCCCGCCGGAGCCGCTCGCCACCTGGGTGACGCCTCCCCGGTCCTCTCCCCGGCAGGGGTGGCTGTCACGGCCCCGCTATGGCCCCGGCGGTCTGCGGGACGCTCCTGGGCCTGGCGTTGTACGCCGGCAGCCTGCGTGTGGCGAGTGGCGCCGCTTTCCTCTACCACGACTACTGCGTCATTGGGGCCGGCCCCTCGGGCTTGCAGGCGGCCTATTTCCTCCAGCAAGCCAGCCGGGACTATGTTGTCTTCGAGCGGAGCCACGCTCCCGGCAGCTTCTTCGCCCTCTACCCTCGCCACCGCAAGCTCATCAGCATCAACAAGCGGTACACGGGCAAATCCAACGGCGAGTTCAACCTCCGCCACGACTGGAACTCGCTCCTCAGCCACGACCGCCAGCTGCTCTTCCAGCGCTACTCCCGCGACTTCTTCCCCAACGCTGACGCGATGGTGCGTTACCTGGAGGATTTTGCTTCCCTGCTGAAGCTGCGGGTTCAGTACAACACGGCCATCGTCCATGTGACGCTGGAGAGGGATGGGCAGGCCTGGAACGGCCACTACTTCCTCCTGACCGACCAGGACAGGCAGAACTACAAGTGCAGGTAATGAGCGAACCCGGGGCTAGCCACACCGCTCTCCACGGGCATCTTTGAAGTCACAAAATCATAGAATAAATTAGGTGGGAAGAGACCTGTGAAGGTCATTTTGTCCAAGCCCCCTGCCTAAAGCAGGGCCAGCAACATCAGGTTGCTCAGAGCCTTACCTCGTTGAGGCATGAGCATCTCCAAGGATAGAGGTTTCACAGCCTCTCGGAGACTTGGCCACTATCACTAGGGCTTAACCATCATGGGGAAAAACATTTTGCAGGCATTGGCGGGGTGGGTGGAATAACTACTCTTGGGAAGGCACTGCCTTTTGCGAGCAACGTTATGCCTTGGGCGGCTGAGGAGCTGGCAGGGCAGACACCAACTGGCTGTGATTGCCATCACTGCAGTTTCCATGCTTGATATGTAAGCTAGATAATTGCTCTCTGTGGAAAAAAAAACACCTCAGTCATACCGAGTTGTAGCCACTGCTGCCTTTATTGTTACAAACTTGGGTGAGTCAGTGCAGCGACACCTCACCTCCGGTAACCCACACGTGCTTAGAAGAACCAATATTTAAAAGTGCGTCCCAGCCAACTGAAGCCCTGGGTTAGTACAGAGCCAGCAGGAGGGAACCAGAGAAAAGTGGGGCTGTTGCAGTAGAAGGAGCTGAGTGTGAGGAATAACCCTCAAGGTTGCTGGTTCCTGAATTCCCCTTCCCTTTGTCATACTCGCACCTGTGTATCTCGTACTGCCACCAAGCTACATTCCTAAAAAACGTCTGGAAGTTACTCATGTGAACATATGGAGTATATTTCTCACCTCTCCTGAGAACCTCAGCTCTACGACAGCAGGTCGCGCTGGCTGTCACTTGGAGGTGCGCTGGCTGGCGAGCTTGGAGGGGACAGAAGGCAATCCCAGACACCCACGCACCACAAGTGAGTTGCTCTCGGGAGCTGCGTGAGCCAGGCTGGGACAGCAGACAGTGCTGCTAGCCTCGGCTGCCTGGTTTTTCCCTCTAAGTCACAAAAGATTAGATTCAAGTAAAAGCTCTTACGGAGAGATATAAAATGATTACTTCTAGTGTTAACAATTAGTGATGTTGCTAACATGTTTTTATGACTAGGAGTTACATTTTAAAATATTGAAACCATGTTCTATCCTTCTTAAAAATTACTTTTGTTCTGCTGTACTAAAAGGCAACACAAATTTTAAAGCAATTTTTTATGCAACATATAATCAACCTGTGAAACTTACGTACTCACTGACAATATATATAGTACTAATGAGTGGTACTTGCACATTCATTAACAACGGAGGGAGATGTATATGTACAGCACCCGCACTGACTTTTGCTATATATAGCGATGTTCCTAGTCATCTCTGTTGGCCTGAGGATAGAGAAGAGAGGAGCAGGTCATTAGGTGAAGCTGGGGAGAGGTTTCTCTTGAAACCATGACCTGTGCAGCTGATCCAGAGTGTCTGGATCAGTGGAGGGGGCACATCACAGCCATCTTCCACAGCGGGAGGAGGAAGGAGTGATGAGATGGAACAATGGCCCCGTTCCTGTAATTCCTGCATTCCCTATTGCTATCCCTGGTTTTGCAGCTCTTTGTTAGTTGCCACTGGGATGTGGGTCCCCAACGTGGTGAACTTTCCTGGCTCAGAATACGTTGAGGGTTACGAGACTGTGTCCATCAACCCAGAGGATTTTGCTGGCCAAACCGTATTGATCTTGGGCCGAGGGAACTCAGCCTTTGAGACGGCGGAGAACATTCTGGGCGTCACGAATTTCATCCACATGGTGAGCCGGTCCCGTGTGCGCCTCTCATGGGCCACTCACTACGTCGGCGATCTGAGGTAGGAAACCGCTCCTCTTCCTCTTTCTAACGCAGCTGGGGTACAAACAAGGAGAATCGCCTCTTGCCGAGGCGATGAGCCGGACTGGCACAGGAGGTGCTGTGGTCCTGGGGGTCGCGGAGGAAACATGGGGCCTTCTGTCCTTAGGTCCTTGGTTTAAAGCAGTCCAGGTTGCAGTTGCTGAACACAGGAGCTTGATGAGAGCTCTTTGGGGTCTGTGTGAAATAGGAAAATGTCCCCTTGGAAACTGTATCACTAAAAAGTCCTGGCTCCCAAGTTGTTCCCTTGCTTGCAGTAACACAGAGGAGAGCTGAGAGGTTGACTACATCCTGCAAGGGAAGCGAGGTTGTGTTACCTGTGCTATTCCTGTGAGCCCTGAGGCTCTGGGGATAACCTTTGCACTGAAGGGGAGCGTGGGATGCCTGGTAAAGGTGTCCCATTTTCAGCAGCTGAGACAGAACCATGGATCCCACCTCTCCTCCCTTCTTTTAGCCTTCGTACATTCTCCTCTTTTTCATAGAGCAATTAACAATGGCCTGCTGGACACGTACCAGCTGAAATCTCTGGATGGGCTTCTGGAGGGCGACCTGGAAGATCTGGCTATTGTCAAGGACAAGAAAGGGAAGCTGCACATCACGCTCCGGTTCTACCTGGATAACAGGAACACCAGCGCAGGCATTGACTCCATCACCCTCCCGCAGGATGAACTGGATAATTTTGCCACCCGTGCACCTTACGACCGTGTCATCCGCTGCCTGGGCTGGAAGTTTGACTTCTCTATCTACAACAGGTGAGGGAGAACCAGGATCTACAGTGAAGCAGGTAGTTAGAGTGAGAGACTATGAAGGGCCTGACTAGGGAGGAAGGGGAAGGGGAGGTCCTCTCCTGGCTCTGAGCTACCTGGTGCTACCACAGTTCTTTGTTTACCCTGTGGCTACAGCCGTGTCCCAGTGCAAACGCATGTGCCATTGCCCTCTGATTGATGGGCTACAGGGCTGAGCAAATGGCAGTGTTGGGACCTGAGTGACACAGAAAAAGTTTGTGCCTTTAGAACTTAACATCCTGACCTGCCAGATCACATGGAGGCGGCTAGCAATGTTTTGTGTTTTTTGTTGTTTTTTTTTTTTTTAATGAGGATGGTACAGGTACAGATCGCTACAGAAAGGTTTTATCTGCTTTTTTACCCTGAGGATGCAGCCTTCGCTCAACCTTGGTTTGTCTTCTAACACATCCTGCAGTTGAAAATGATACTACTAACTTCACTGTCTTCCAAAATTCACTGTCAGTGGCTCAGGCTGGAATTTGATCTTGTCCAGAGCTACCTTGAGATGAGCACCCTTGTGTTCTGGAAGATCCTCATTGACTTTATGCTCTTGGGACAGCAGTAAATCCCACTGAAGACAGCGGGGGCATGAAGCAGTGTCTTGCAGTGGCTGCAATATAGTGTGTCCCTTATCAGAAACACTTTATTTTTCCACCCTTGCCCTTCCTGACAGCCTGCTCTTCTCTTTTGCACATCAGATCCCTTAGAATGATGCCAGGAAAAGGGAATAAAAAGAAGTATCCTCAGATCAAACCTAGTTACGAGTCCAGAGGCACTCGGGGGCTCTTTGTTCTTGGCACTGCTAGCCATTCTGTTGACTTCAGGAAATCTGCTGGGGGCTTTATCCATGGATTCCGGTATACAAGTGAGTACTGGGTGTACAGAAAGGGCAGAGGTGGGAATTGTTCCCCCTTCGAAGGAACAATTCATAGCTTACTGCTGGAAAGAGATCACCCTTAGTCTTGTGCTAGCAGTAAGAACAAAGCACAGCCAAGCTGCAGCTGCGTTGTCTGAAGTGGAGGAGAAGTGACTTGGGGTCATATCTGAAGTTTTTGGTTGTCTGTCTTTGTTTTGTCTTGTGTCTCTCTTGCCCATTGTCTCTTATTTATGTAACACAATAGATTTCTGCCGGCCAGATGCTCTGCCTCGTGACAGGCTGTGGGTGAGAGGTCTGTGCTGTGGAGTTAAAACCCAGCGGCTCTGGGCAGTAGAGAGAATTTCTGTCTGTGTGTGTGTGCCCATCCTTATCATTAAAGGACTGCTCGGAAGTAATGAAATATCCCCAAGGACCCCCCGCCCCCTCACCAACCACTTAGCATCACATCAGCTTTCAGAGGGCATCTCCACTGCAGTTACCAGCGATTGGGGTGGGAGATCCTGAGCACGGATGAGCTGTAAAGCTTATTTATTGTGTCCTGCCAGTATCTGTGTGTGCCGCTGCAGAGTGATTGGATTTCTTAAAAGCGTAAGCTTGGGTTTTTAAATAAGCCGTCTTTGTTTCTCTCAATGTCTTAGCTCGTGCAGTCCACCGCTTATTGGAAAATCGTCACCATGGTGTCCCCTGGCCATCCACAGTCTACCCTATTACACAGCTGACCAATTCCATCATCAAGCGGGTGAACGAGGCCTCGGGCCTCTACCAGATGTTCAGTGTCCTGGCTGACATCATACTGCTGAGAGAGTGAGTGAGTGAGTAATTATTCCCAGCACTGCACTCCATCGTTTCGTTCCTTCTTCTTTACCATTGCCTCCCATGGTGCCACCACACAAATTGCTCCATTGCTGCCTAAGGGTGTTACCGTCACATAGGCAGCCACCTCAAAACCTGTATCACTGCCGCGACTGGTGCCACTATGCCCAATTCTGCCAATTACTTCTCTCTCTTAAGGGGCTGAAATGGTCCAGACCTTCCCTCTAGGGTCAGAAGTGTAGTACCTTTTTACTGTCCCCAGGGAAAAGCTTTCTTTGAGCAGTGCTCACACAGAGAGGAATCGCATAAAGTGGGAAAATAATGGAGCCTTGTAACAGTATCTGCAGCCTTCATAAGCTCTGCATCAAGTCCAGCCCAGATCTGTAATGACCACAAATAATTACTATCTGATGGCTCTTTGGCCTTAGCCTTGACCAGCTGAGGGGGTGTTGGATCCCAGCTGGCTTTTCTGTGGTGGAAAAGTCTGATGGCTGTGGTTGCAATTCACAGGAACGCCACAGCATTTGAATACCTGGAAGAATACCCGGTCGGAGTCCTCGCCGAGCTGGAAATGCAGACGGGGAGAAAGGCTCCCAATGGGCTGTTTGTCATCATCATGGAGTATGGAAGGAATTTCTCTGGGGCTGACAAGGATGTCTTCTACTACAACCGAGCCGTGGGAGAGGCACAGCATGCCTGGCAGTCCAACTTTTTGCACCCTGTTATTTACTATTACAAACGGCTCCCGACAGGTAAGCTTTCTTGCCTCTCCCTGCTAATTATCTGATACGAGCAAAACGGAGAGGGATGATGATACTTCAGAGCCAAAGAAGGGAGGGGGTACCTGAAGGCATTGCAGACCCTTCTCCACTTCCTTCACGTCCATCCTCTGGGACACCTGCCACCACTGTGTGAGCTGAAGAAAAAGCTGGGAGTTGGCATGAAGTTTCCATCGGTCAGACCAATACGAGGTGTAGGGTGCGGGGGTTGTACCAGAGACCTCACATTTGAGAACGAGAACTGCCCCCTTCCCAGAAAGGGGAACGTTGCTTTCCTTTGGCTGGCACCCTGCATGTATTTTGCAGAGTCCTGGCAGATGAGGCTGGGCTGTTCAGTGTTGCCGCCAAAAGAAAGCTGCTCTCTGTGGCCGGCCCAGGTCTGAGAGGTCACGCAGTGACAGAGGCAGTTCCAAAGGCACGGGTTTGAAGATGAGTGTTATATCCAGCAAACACTCTCAGAATAGATTTCCTTGGGAAATGAGTGTGCTGAATCTTCATCTCCAGAAACCTAGGGTCAGGGTCTGGCCTGCCGTGCATGGAAGGAAGCGTGATGGGTAGCAGCATTACAGCTTGAACGCAGCTCAGCCCGTCTGGCAGTCCCTGCCCAGGGGGAACGGGAGTGAAATGACAGGAAGTACTGCGGGCAGGGACGAGGGGCAGCTGTGCAGTGACAGGGCTGTTAAGGACACGGCTAGCAGAGGGGATTGCAAATGAAAGTAAGGTAGGGATTAAAAAGGTCAGGACAAAAGCTGAAACAGCTGTTGTAGCTGCTTTCCCCTCCCCAACCTCTTTTTAATGCCATTTTGATTCTGAGAGATTCCCTTAATGTTCTCTTGGCAGAGCACGAGATGAGACTTCGGCCCCCAGATTGGCCTCTCCCTCGCCCAGATGCTGTCCATCACATTGTGGAGGACTTTCTGACAGACTGGACGGCCCCGAATGCTCACATCCTGCCGCTGAGGCGGTTTTTGGAGAACTGCCTCAGCACTGACCTGCGCAATTTCTTTGCAGGTAATTTGAGCACAGGGTCGAGGTGGCAGGAAGAGGAGGAGGGATGCGAGGGACTCGCAACAGGAGCGATCTCTTCTGCAAATAGCTGAGATCTCCCTGTGGTGAGCTGGTGGTCTCACTGCTAGTCACACCTCTTTGATGCGCTCCCCAGATGGTAAAAAGTGACAGTGCTGTGTGTATGTTCCCAAATAGTTTTTGCTCTTGCTCACTACCAGAAAGAGACCGCCCCAGGCACACACAGATTTAGGGAAAGGTGTATGAGGTTTGATTTGGTTCCTTTTCTACCTGCAGCTTTCCTTCCTTCTCCATTATCTGAACATTTCTTTATGCGATCGAGTACCAGAGCTCTTTTCATGTACCGATGATGGGATTGCTTTCCCATGGGAAATGGGAGTGCTGGGATGTGAGAGCTGGAGAGCCTCTGCTGCCTCCCTTCCTGGTCTGAAGACTGGTCTGGGAACCTCCTGCAGCAACCCCATGTGCTGCACAGAGGGAAGCAATCCTGTGGTACAAAGAAGATGATGGAGGGCTGCAAACTCAAATCCCGCTCCTTTTCCTCTCAGAGCGCAGACTGGAGATCCCACCCTGCATCTCCTGAGCTCTGTAGAATTGAGTCAATTATTCTGCTGTCATCCGGGGCCGGGTGCCAGGTGGGACACTCCAGTCGTCTTCCCTCATCCTCTCTGCCTTTTGTTCTGAATGAGTCCTCGAGAGTTTATGGGAGTTATTCTCTGCCACGTCTGATTTTTGATCCTTTCCCCTGCAGAGTCCTGTTTCCTGTTTGCCTTCACGCGTCAGAAGCTGCCTCCCTTCTGTCAGCAGGGGTACGTGAGAATGCAAGGGCTTGTGGGGAGCGAGGGGCTCCGGCGCCACGCAGTAGAGGCTGGCCTGCTGGAGGATTACACTCTCGCAGACTTTTTGGGCGACAGACCCCCTGACAGCCGCGAAGGGTCACAGGACCAGCTGCTGAGAGATCACGCGATACCCGTTCGTCCGCTGCAGCATCTTGTTAATGCCAAGGATGAGCTTTAACCTTTCTCACTCCACACTGAAACCCATAGGTGCTGTTGTGACGGTATTGTAACAGAGATCCACAGCAGGATTCTGCCCTTTCCCGTGCACCTTTTCCATCCCACTGATCATGAGTTGCCAAAGACCTGCTCAGATCTTGCTGTTACAAAGAGGACCAACGTGCTCTGAAGGATAAGCAAGGGGCCCAAATCCAGTGACGCTGATGCTCCCACGTTTGTCCTGGCAGAGTTCAGAGTTGCCTGAAGATGGTGTTTATCTCGCAGGCCAGTATCTGCAGCGACATCCAGGGGTCAAAGAAGAGAGAGTGCAGGAACGCCTGGGTAACTTAGAATGTCACGTCCCTCTTCTGAGGTGAGCTGGTTGCACCCTGTGGTAGCCTGGTGCAGGCTCTCTGGCCCCTGGATGCGGTATGCTGCATAGGCTTGAAGATTTGTTTGTGCACCGAATCCCGAAGCGGTACTCCAGGCAAACTTCATGATATTTTTCCTGCATTTGAGTTAGGGCAGTTGCGTAGCTGGTGTGGAAGAGGGGTGGTCTTTTTTTTAGTTACCATATAGGTGGGATAACTTGTCATTTCCTGGAGAGCACTACAAGAGACCCTTCTCTCCACAGAGGATGAGTAGCTTGCCTGGAATGCCTGGGACACAGAGACTTCCATGGATTTCAGCTCCGCTGTCCTCACGTTTTTCTTCACCCACACCAAGCAGCCTGAAAGGTTAACCCCTGTCTTTTATAAAGCATGACCAATATTTCTCCTATTTGCACTACGTCCCATCAAGAACGTTTCGGGTGGACTTTGATGTTGTTAAAATGCTTGTCTTCTATTTCTTTTATTCCCCTCCAGTCACCTTGAGGCCTTACCGGCATGGACTGGGAGGCTGCCTGCACTTTATTGCTCCCTCTGTCAGCCACCTGCATTTCTCTGTCACCTCCCTGTGGGCTCCTTGCCCAGCCCTGCTCAAAAAGAGCAGTTTTGGGCTCCACCTTATGTTGTCCCTGTGATTTCTAGGAAATAGAGGAGGGGCGAGGGGGAACAGGCTTTTGCTTCCACACACGTTTTCCAGCCCCTTAGCACCTAGAAGAATATACCTCTCCGCACTCGTGCTGCCCAATACCCCAGACAGGGGAGGCTGTACCTCCGGGTACCTAAAATTGTCCCAGTCCTTCGAATTCGGCTGCTGTTTCTGTAGAGCCCCAGTTCCTACCCTGCCTCTACTTCATGCTTGGAGGGGGGGGGGAGCAGAAGAGGAGAAGGAGATGACAAATGAGTTCTTGCTCCTCTTTGGGAATAGTGGGCTATGCTAGCGATGCCGCTGGAAGATCTTAGTGTTCACATGCAGCTGAAGGGGGAAACTATCATCTTCTCAGTCGGTGTCGATCAGCGTCCTTCCGCAGGCTTTACATCCCATTGCCCCAGCTCCCAGGCCAGCCTGGGAATGGCTCTTGTGGCCGATAGTTGTCTGGGTGGTGCCGCTACTTGCTACATCCTTGGCACCGTGGGCTTTCTGTTTGGGAATTGTCCGGGGGAAGAAAAGGGGCCTGCGACTGAATCGGGTTGACTGGCTGTCACTAAGAGCCTGTTCATTCATTCCCCGTATGCACCGACATTGAGTGCAGCCCTGTTGTAGGTACTCACAGGCACCTTCTCCAGATGTTTCCTCTTCCATCATGGAATCATGGAATCACTTAGGTTGGAAAAGACCTTTAAGATCATCGAGTCCAACCACTAACCTAGCACTGCCACGTCCACCACTACACCGTGTCCCTAAGTGCCATGTCTACCCATCTTTTAAATACCTCCAGGGATGGAGACTCAACCGCTTCCCTGGGCAGCCTGTTCCAGTGCTTGACAACTCTTTGAAGAAGAAGTTTTTCCTAATATCCAACCTAAACTTCCCCTGGCGCAGCTTGAGGCCCTTTCCTCTTGTCCTCTCGCTTGTTACTTGGCAGAAGAGACCGACCCCCACCTCGCTACAGCCTCCTTTCAGGTAGTTGTAGAGAGCAATAAGGTCTCCCCGCAGCCCCCTCTCCTCCAGGCTGAACACCCCCAGCTCCCTCAGCCGCTTCTCGCACGACTTGCAACGCACGCCACGCTGTACGATAGGTACGATGCCATCCCACAAGAGACCTGCAGAGCGTGCGTTCGCCGTGCAGGTGTTGCCTTAAAGCGTGATTCGCCTTAGAAAAGCGACGATCTAAAAAACGGCACCTGCTGACGCTTCCGGCGCACTCCCTGCCCGTCTCCCAGGCGTGGATCTGGCAACTTAGGCCCCAGAGGCTTTGCTGCCGCTGACCTCCAGCGGCTCCGGGCAGCGGGCACCCGCGGCACTG